TATATATATTAGAAGTCACAAAATATACAACTTCATCTTATATAAGCAATTCTTATCCCACCCTGTTGATCCATACAACGACACGATCCATACTCTCGGGTCTAAAATTAATATCTTAACTTAATCCATACTCCCGGATCAAGTATGTCCAATCCATACTCTCGTATCAATAACTGTGCCTATTCCATACTCTCGAACTAGGGACAATTGACTATGTCTCAGTCCATGCTCCCGGATTAATGACAAATAACTATGTCCTCACTATACTCTCGGACTAAGGACAAATCACTAAGTCAAATCCATGCTCTCGGATCAATGACTAGTTTTAAAGTTCTACTCTCCTTGTATATCTGACTCGTACTCATAAGGAGTTACTACCCAATATTCCTCTTAATTAATCATCATATATTATCAGATATGCTCTTAACACGTATTTCACGCAATATCAAATATTTCACACACAAACATATATTTAATACTTTAATCAATACTTGTATTAGAATCATGTTCATGAAAGGGACTATGCACTCACATGTTAAAGTGCTGATTCCAAATTTGGACAACGCTTCGCTTCTTGACAATATAATTTCCTTCGACGAAACCTAATATTATTACCACTAGATTTTAGTCTAATAGTTATCGCGACTATTTACAAGCGATATTGTTTTATAAGTGTTAAACAATATTGTTCAACCACTAGGTACAGATAGGGGACAGACATGAAACACTGGAAGGCAGGACCATTTTGGCACTATAGCACTTCTGAAATCCAACAACCCTATGCGACCCTTCAAACCAGATTCCCCGTACCGTGATGAATAGTTAAAAGATATTATAGTAGCACTTTATATATAATATTTTATAATATATGTATTGTTTGTAAGTTCATAATAACGATACTAAATTTAAATATAAGTTATACTTAAAGTAGGGTAAGCATAACTCACTTACCAGGAGGTTTGCTAGAAATCGGGCTCTACAGAGGCGGAACTTTCCGAGCCGAAAAGCTCTTTTTCTCGGAGCCTTCTAGCGCTCCGGGGCTTGCCTCTTAGCACTAAGGAAGTACTAGAGCATGGGAGGGCCTAGAGAGAAGTTAGAGAGAGAAAGAATGGGTTTTGGTGTGAGAATTATGGTTGCCCTCACATGGTATTTATAGGAGCTGGAACCTTGGTTACGCTGGGCGTACCCTCGCATGTACACTGGGCGTACTTCGGTACGCTGGGCGTATGAGGTTAAGCAACGCGTAGTAGAGGGCACGTGTCCAAAATCTGTTAGGGCGACGTGGACGATCCGAGGCCAAGCATGCGAGTACGCGGGGCGCTCCGGCTTCCTACGCGGGGCGTTCCGTGAGCAGCTTCACATTTTACACTCCCGACTTCTAAATTCCGTAACTTTCTCGTACGAGCTCTGTATTCGACTTTCTTTATATCCACGTGTAGGTGGAGACATACTCTACAACTTTCGTTTAGACTTTGTCGGCTAATTTTAAATTTATATTTTAACAGGCCGGGACAAGAAAAGTCCGTTAAAGATTCATAACTTTGTCATCCGACGTCCGTTTTCGTCTGTCTTTTTATCGTTGAGCTCCTATTAACGAGATCTTTGCTTTTTGTTTAGGTTGTGTCGGCTAAAAAATCGGTCGATCTAATATTTGAATTTCGGGCTGCATACTGCTATGTCAAATCTTAGAAAAATCATAACTTCCTCATACGAAGTCAGATTTGGACGTTCTTTTTATGCATGCTCTCGGTTTAACGTATACTAACGTATACTACGACTTTCGTTTAGATCGCTAAGTCTAAAAAGTACTTTATCGTAAATTCACTTTTTACGTCACACAGCGTCGTGCCGGTTTTGTCGTGAAACTTCAACAGGTCATAACTTCTTCGTTATAACACGGATTTTAGTGTTCTTTATATGTACGGAATCCTTGTGACATATACTATAACTTAGTTAAGATTATTTACTCTAAATAACCTTATATCCAAAAGTCAATTTTGACACTTATTGTCTCTAAAATGGCTAGCCCGAATCTGCGCGTGTTACAAGTAATGTTTGCGATTTTTGATACGCATACATGTAGACACATACACACATACATAAACATAAACATACACATACACATACACATACACATACACATACACAACTGTACTTACATACACATTCAAATACATACACTCATACATACACATACACATACAGATAAACATACACATACACATTCAAATACACTTACACATACATATACATACACATACACACATACATATACATACACACACATACACGTACATACACATACATACATACATACATACATACATACATACATAAATACATAAATACATACAAATATACCTATTTCCCTTTAATATCATCATTTTTCATTATTAATAAATTAAACATAGATTATTTCACCTTATTGATGTGTCAAACATAGTTTTTTTCGTTTAATCGTTTGTTTGTGTGTTAAACACATTCTTTACAATTATTATATATTATTATGATGTTTATAAATATTATTATTAATAGTACTATTAGTATGATTTTTAATTGTTCGTGTCTCAAATATGTAAGAAAAATGATCCAAAAAAAAATTAAGACTCGAATAATGAAAAATAATAATAATTGGAGTAATAATAATAATAATAATAATAATAATAATAATAATAATAATAACGGAAATTATAAATCCGTCGGTATTTTGTAGCTATTCTGTAACCATTTTCTTCCGTCGCTAGTCCGTAGCTGTTCTGTGGCTAATTACCTACGGATTTACTTCCATCGCTAGTCCGTAGCTATTCTGTTACTAAATTAGGACATCCAATTTTGTAGCTGATCCGTATAGCTTGTCGTAGGTAATTAGCTAACTACGGAAATTTTCCGTAGCTATTTTCTATAGGAAAACCCCATGTTTTCTTTTAGTGAACAAGGTCAAAGAATGTACGTCGAAAACTATTCACTTTTTTCCGTTAGAAATCCACCGCTAGTATTTACCCACAGAGGTATTTTCTGATAGACTGATATCCATAAAAAGTAATGTTTAAGGGAAAAATACTCACGAAAATAATCATCCTAAATATATTGTTGTTCTGGTAGTTTACATGTACATTTACCATATATTGATTTTCATAAAAGTTTCAAAATATGATTTATCTTTAAATTATGTATTTGTTAAAATTTTTATCTATAATAACTTCTCAGTTTTTCCAATTTAGTGTCGCTAAGGGTAGAAAATATAAATTTGAAACTAGGCCATAAACATGTCATTTTACACATTAAAATACAAAATGTCACTACTAGTTTAGTTTAGATAGAAGATAAATCAATAATACTAGGGTTACTTACTTACATATTTTGTTTTAAGTTCATATTTAGCTAATCATGTTATTTATACTTATTTGACTATTCAATTTGGTACATGTATTTTAAAAACGATAATATCACCGGTTATATAAATAATTAAAACATTTGAAATAAATTTTATGGTCAAATATCTAAAAAAAAATCGTGCCAAAATATAAACGGATAACAAAATAATATGTTATATTTTTAAGTAATTAATTAACCCATATATAATGCTAATATGAGTAATATCTCTTGTCTTCTACCCAACACGTGCTTAGATAAGTCAAGCTTCCACATAAGTTCAACTCATAAAATCCAAATTGTGGAAAACTATACAATAAGTCTAGCTTTTTTGCGATTTATAAATGAGCACGGCTCTGATTAAGTGATTATGTATTTATGTTCTACTGGTGTCAAGTTCTGCTACCCCAATAACTTCATAAAGAACCAAAAGTATGTTTACGGAAGTTGGATTCGATTTTCCTTTCCTTGAATCCATTCCAAAACATCTTTTTGACGATCATTTAGAGATCTGCCACAATACTACTTTCCAAAATCCTATTAGCTATATGAGCTCTAATGCCAACAATTGGAGCTTTCCTGAAAAGTCGGAAGAATGGTCCCCTAATATGGAAGATATCTCGAGCTTTTGCAAGTCACCAAATTCATCGAAGTCATCCAACATGTGTAGCCCAAATTTTAGTCCCATTTTTCCATTTTTTGTGGATGATGAAGTCGAACCATCCCTAAATCTTGATGAACTTATTGAAATCTACAGTAGTTTAGAAGATAAAAATTACAGCACACTTCCAGACACCAATATAGATCAGCTTAGTCAAGTTCCGACCAGACTTGAAGAAACCCAACCAGAATTTTCTACGGCCACCATTGGTAATCACCCAGGCATCCATAACAGTTCAGAGAGAGATAGAAGCAAGCCACAAAAATGGGATTTCTCGACTGGGCACGTTGTTCAGTTTGGCGAGGAAGCATTTTCCAACAGGAAAGACGGCCGTAATTTGCCAACAGTAAAGGAGTTGTCATCGGATGATGGGCATGACGTCCATGTTCAACAGCTTTCGTTTCTTTCATGCAGGAGTTACAGAGGGATAAGAAGACGACCATGGGGAAAGTACACTGCTGAGATGCGGAACCCAGAAAAAAAAGGATCGAGGTTGTGGCTAGGGACATATGAGACACCAGAGGCAGCAGCCATGGCATACGATCGAGCGGCTTTTAAGTACCGTGGATCAAACGCCTTGCTTAACTTCCCACATTTGATCGAGTCGCACAAGGAAATGCCTGAAAAAAATATCACGAAGAACTTATCATCATCTTCTTCATTGAAGTCAACCAAAGACACGATCAGGAAGAGAACGAGAACTTTAGTTATTTAGATTTTTTTTTTCAAAGCAATAAGGTGGAGAACTTTTGACGATATAGTCGGTGCTGTCAATTTCAACATATTAATGTCAAAACAATCAATTAGGATTTGAGTTTATAAAATGTATTTAAATGTTAAAAAAATATTATTCTTATAATAAAGAGCATGGAAATATAGTTCAAAACAAATCAAAATGACAAAAATGCCCTACAAAGTTTTTAGGGTTGGTCGATACGGCCCCTAATGTTTTTGTCGGGTTTTATGGGTCCCTAAACTAGGATACGACCTACTTTTTTAGTCCCTGTCAACCTGTAATAGCCGGTTCAGTGACCATTTAGACCAAAAAAACTCACATTGTACCCCTATAAACCCAAAAAAATAAGTTCGGGCAACATGATAGGATTTTAACATTGTGCCCCTATTAACCGAGTAATAACCACAAAGCTTGAAATCGAGCTTGGAGATAAACCAAGTGTCGGATCGATTGGATCAAATGTAACACCCCCAAACCAGAACGGCAGAAACGTTCGGGGCGGAGAACGTCATGTTCAGTATCATAACAATGCACAATAGTAAAACAAGAAACAACATTATCCATTGCATTGATAATATAGTTAATACAAGTGTCTTCTGAATGTATTTGTAAGACACCAAAAATGTAAATATCAAAAATAAACAACGAGTCTTGAACATGCTCCATCTTCTCAAATCCTGGTCCAGTGTACCTGTCTACTGCTGACCTGAGAATACAAGTTATTTTGAAAGAGTAGATCAAAATTTAAGCTGGTGAGTTCAAAAGTATTTTAGTGTCAAATGTTTGCATTAGTTAGATGTAAAAGTTTGTAAGCGTTTTGATGTAAATGTTTGTAAGTGTTTCGATGTAAATGTTTGTATACTTCCTAGAAAATCCTATATTTTTTACTAAAATGGAAAGTAGTCTTCTACCAAGACTCGACTGTTTTGTATGTTTGTTCTTTTGTAAAAGTGAGTGTTTTCCC